ATCAGTATGCTTCGTTCAGTTACGTATTGCTTCTGGGACACCCTGTATATTAGATTATTTAATGATTTTAGAATTTCTATCTGCGTCAGTAAAAAATAAAGCAAATGTTTTGGCTTGAGAAACGAATTAAAATATTAACATTACAATTCGCTTTTAATTATAGTCTTTAAAATATTTTAAATACGTGCTAATTAATTTTACATTTGGTCATGTAAACGCGGCCTGTGTCTGTGCCGCCATCTTAGTCATAATATAAATATTATTTAAAAATTAAATATTCGCTCTCTGAATAGACTTATTATTATTGTGCGGTATTTAAAAATAGGTAGAGCATCGGAAGTTGATTTAATTAAAAACAATCTAATTATAACGCTCCGCAGACTCATTTGCTCAGTTTTTTATTATTTTAAATATATGGCGCAATATTGACTATTGAATTCCAATCGCAAAATTCACTTGCTTAAAAACTAAAGTAACGTACAACAGGTGGTAGACAGAAAAAAACATTCTAATAAATAACACCTGGGTGCCCGGTGGCGTAGAGGTGTACAGGGTGGGTCCAAATTCGACGCTTTTAAATGGAAGCACCCTTTTCTATAGGAGATAGACGAAAACTAATATCGGTGTCTGAGCTCAATTTTCATCAAAAACATAATGGTGAAAGCCGCACATCAATATCTGTTACCGTTTCGGAGTTACGGGGTGTTTTCAAAAAATATGCATTTTTAACAAATCGCTGTAACTCTTTGCCATGGAAAATTTTGTATTTCTATGAAAACATTTCCAAAGCACCTTTTACGTAAGAATTTAATGGTTTAAGTATATTTTTTAAAATTAATAATTTAAAGTACCAACAGAAAAATTGATTTTTTTTATTTGGGACACCCCCTATATTTATAATTAACAGAAAATAATTTTAAAATTACCTTTCCAAAAATATAGCACACTTGATATTTTTGTTATAATCCCCTTCGAAATACAGAATTTTAAAGTTCGCCACTTTTAACTAGTGGGATTTGGACCCCTTATTGATGATATGCCCTTAATGGAACGCGAAAATATTTTCCAGCAAGACGACGCGCGACGCACCGCCTCTGAACGTTGAAGTTATCAACAAATTTTTGCAGCCAATTTCAATAATTGAATAATAACCAAGATCCCGCCTGACACCAATTGCCTATGGATCTAATCCTATGGATATATTTGCGGAAGAATAAAGGTTTTTATTCTTCCGTATAATCAAACAAAATTAGAAATACTTAGCAGTTATGAGAGGGTATCTTTTACCCCTACTGAGTTAATGAATTCCGCAGAAATGTTCAAAAACTGCCCCGTCTGGCCATGACAGAAGACGGTCGATAGGTCGAACACCTGTAGCAAAATCATGTCTTGGTTTGCTATTTATTTTGTGTTATTAGATATATGTAGTTTAAATGTGTTGATGCTGGTTAAATATATTTTAAATTGTTATAAAATTCTGCATCTCTCATAGCAAGTATTATTTTCGTTTTTAATTAATGCTCACAGCTAGATTTTTTTGCATTACAGCCGGTGCCGTTCAAAGCCTACTTATTTAAAGCAGGCGAATTTTTATATACTCTCTATATTTCAAAGAGGAATGGAGCAAAATATTAAGTATGTTATATTTTTGGAAAGGTAATTTTAAACTCTTTTTTTTTTTTTTTTTTTTTATACAGTGTGTCCCATAGAAAAAATCAAATTTTCTTTGATAATTCTTAAATTATTAATTTTAAAAAAGTTATACTTAAACCATTAAATTCTACGTAAAAGGCGCTTTGGAAATGTTTCTGCTAAAAATACAAAACTTTCCATAGCAAAAAGTTACAGCGTGATTTGTAAAAATGCATATTTTGAAAAACACCCTGCAACTCTGAAACGGTAACAGATATCGAGATGCGGTTTTCAGCATCATGTTTTTGACAAAATTCAGCTCCAGACACCGATATTAGTTTTGTCTATCTCCTATAAAAAAAGGTGTTTTCATTTAAAAGCGTCGAATTTGACTCAACCTGTACAGGCACTGCTCAATAATTCCCCAAGGTAGTGGGCTCGATCCCCACACCCGGCATTGTGATTGCCGACTATTTTTATTAAAATAAAAATAGGTTTGGATACCTAGGTCGACTCCGCCTTAAATGAGTACTTGGATTCACAATCCTGAAGTAATAACAGGCGGTTGAAGCGTAGTGCTAGCCACATTACCTTCCTTGTATACCGAACGGCTCTAGTATGGCAAGCTGTACCTTGCTACTCCCAAGGCGTTAAACGCTATATACGGGAGCTATTAATATATAAATAACACAACAGAGGAAATAGTAGAAGTAAACTCGTATAATTTATTTGGGACAACTATAGCAGCTCAGGATCACTACCAGGAATCAACAGAAGAATTAATTTAGCATGTTGGCCATATTCTGGCCAAATACTATTAGAAATTAGGATTTATTATTGAGTGGAATCCACAAGGCAGTAGAGGAACTGGTCGTAATCGTCCAAGACACATATGACAAAGGACAATTAAAAAGGAGATCGAAGCAGTAAAGCAACCATTGCGAGATGTCAAATCAATGGCAAACAGCCGAATTCGCTCTGGAAAGCATTTATTGAAGCCCTGTGCTCCACGTAGGAATAAAGGGCAAAATGAATGAGATTTTCTTCTAGTGGCGTAAAACGCAGAAGTCTTTTCAAGAACTGAACCCGCTACAAAGGTAAAGAGATTATTTTTTTTTCAATAACAAAAGGCCGTCCTCTGCCGGAAACACTGCGACCTGTGAGGCCTATTGTGTTTGTCAAGTGTCAAAATCGAAATTTCTATATCTGCACCCATTCTCCTATCCCTGTGCCCTGCACTAACTTATGCAGGTCCTTGATAGGATGGGAGCATAATTCTTCCGGTTCTAGTCTAGCTTTCCCAAATAAAAAGTGTCGCTTGTGATCCAGAGCCTCGCAGTGACATATTATGTGCTTCGCTGTTTAAGGATCTTTATCGCAGAGCCTGCAGCAAAGACTTCCTTGATACAGGTTGAGCTGTTCAGGTAACACTTGAGAGCCATGTGTCCTGTCAAGAGGTTTGTTGTAATCCGTACTTTAGTCCTGCTAAGCATTAGCAGTTCTTTTGGGGTTTTAGAGCTAGGTCCTTGGATAAAGGCCTTGCTGTGCCTGTATTGGGCCTTGCTGGGCCATACATTTGGGTATTCCCAGTACTGGTTCTGGACCGAGATAGGATGCCGATGGCTCTGAACCCAGATAGGATGCCGATGATCCTTGTCTAACTAGTACATCGGCTTTTTCGTTGCCTTGGATGCCGCTGTGGGCCTTGGTTTTGGTTTAGTTCGGATCTTTTTTCGTTTCTCTCTCATAAATTACACGAAAATGGAACATAAAATAATTCTTCTTCTTCGTCGTCTCTTCATGTCTGAAGAATCGTGACATTATGGCTATGTGCAGTTGGTGATTTTGATCTTCCATCGTTGGCGATCTTCCGCCTCTAGGAGATTTGATTGAAATGGATGACCTGTAATATTTGCTATTTGGTCTAGCCATCTCGATGGTGATCGTCCTCTGGATCTTTGACCTTCTACTTTGCCTTGTACTATGATTTTTTCAAGGTTGTCTTCACCTCTGCGAGTGATATGACCGAAGTATTGCAGGATGCGTCTACGGCAGATGGTGGATAATCGATCTGTGATGCCGAGAAATAATAAAAGCCATAAAATAATAACGTATAATAAATTATCTAACCGCCAAGTCAAGCACAGCCGTACCATCCTTTTCTCGACGGTATTAGCTTTTAGAATTATTACTTTTGACCCCCCTGTAACTTGTTGTGGATAAAGCAAGAATATTAATTTTCACTACACTTGAAGATATACTATAGCTGGCTAGGTTACCAAAATATCTAGTAATTATCCCTCATAGTTTATGAATTATCGCTTGTCAAATTTCTTTAATTTCGACATTGACTCACTGACAGATCATCAAAATTCTAAGCTGTTCTAAGCTACTTCTAGATGTGTCACACACTCCAAATTTAGACTTTTAGGTAGCTTTAAGCTTATAACCAAAGAAAAAAAATGAAAAATCTCGAAATATCCTTATGGATTAAAAGTTAGCTGTCTAGCCGCTACCGGTAACTGGATTTCCAGTCGAGAAAAAGATAGAAAACTAGAATTAAATACATGTACCTATTTACAAACTGATTTATCTTATTCTCATCAGTTTCGTAACCAACTTCTTACATCGAATGACAGTGCACCGAAATAAGGTGACAAAACAGAAAACTCAAACATAATTTCCTATTATTCATTCGCATCGAATCGATAAAAAAATCTCATTGTTATCCTCTAACGCAGTGCGATCGTCTTTTTTCCGTGTTATTGACGTTGGACAGAATCAAACCATTGTTTCTACGTTAGCGGGATTATGCAAAGATCACGATCATCATCGGTGTGAAAAAA